TGGTGTATATGTACCACAGCTTCCTCATCCATTCGTCTGCTGATGGGCATCTAGGTTGCTTCCATGTCCTGGCTATTATAAACAGTGCTGCGATGAACATTGGGGTGCACGTGTCTCTTTCAGATCTGGTTTCCTCGGTGTGTATGCCCAGAAGTGGGATTGCTGGGTCATATGGCAGTTCTATTTCCAGCTTTTTAAGAAATCTCCACACTGTTTTCCATAGTGGCTGTACTAATTTGCATTCCCACCAACAGTGTAAGAGGGTTCCCTTTTCTCCACACCCTCTCCAGCATTTATTGCTTGTAGACTTTTGGATAGCAGCCATCCTGACTGGCGTGTAATGGTACCTCATTGTGGTTTTGATTTGCATTTCTCTGATAATGAGTGATGTTGAGCATCTTTTCATGTGTTTGTTAGCCATCTGTATGTCTTCCTTGGAGAAATGTCTGTTTAGTTCTTTGGCCCATTTTTTGATTGGGTCATTTATTTTTCTGGAGTTGAGCTGGAGGAGTTGCTTGTATATTTTTGAGATTAATCCTTTGTCTGTTGCTTCGTTTGCTATTATTTTCTCCCAATCTGAGGGCTGTCTTTTCACCTTGCTTATAGTTTCCTTTGTTGTGCAAAAGCTTTTAAGTTTCATTAGGTCCCATTTGTTTATTTTTGCTTTTATTTCTGAAATTCTGGGATGTGGGTCATAGAGGATCCTGCTGTGATTTATGTCGGAGAGTGTTTTGCCTATGTTCTCCTCTAGGAGTTTTATAGTTTCTGGTCTTACATTTAGATCTTTAATCCATTTTGAGTTTATTTTTGTGTATGGTGTTAGAAAGTGTTCTAGTTTCATTCTTTTACAAGTGGTTGACCAGTTTTTCCAGGACCACTTGTTAAAGAGGTTGTCTTTTTTCCATTGTATATCCTTGCCTCCTTTGTCAAAGGTAAGGTGTCCATAGGTACGTGGATTTATCTCTGGGCTTTCTATTTTTTTCCACTGATCTATATTTCTGTTTTTGTGCCAGTACCATACTGTCTTGATGACTGTGGCTTTGTGGTAGAGCCTGAAGTCAGGCAGGTTGATTCCTCCAGTTCCATTCTTCTTTCTCAAGATCCAAAGCATTTTTCTAATTTATCTTGTGATTTCTCCTTTGACATTATTTGTCTATAGAGTTCGTTGTTTAATTTCCACACATTCCAATATGGTGAAATTTCTGAATTTCCTTCTGTTACTGACTTATAGTTTCATTTCACTGTAGTGAGGGTAGATAGTTTATATGATTTCAATCATTTTAAGTTTATTGAGAATTATTTATGTCCTAACTATGATGTATCCTGGAGAATGTTCCATGTACACTTTGGGTATATGGAAATGCTGTTGGGTAGATATCTGTTAGATACAATTGGTTTACAGTGTTGTTCATTCAAGTCTTCTATTTCTTTGTGTATCTTTTGTCTAGTTATTCTATCCATTATTGAAAATGAAGTGTTGATGTCTTCAACTATTATTGTTGAACTCTTTATTTCTCCCTCAATTCTGTGTTTTTGGTTCATACACTTTGGGGCTCTCTTATTAGATGTACATGTTTATAATTGTTATATCTTCTTGATAAATTGACCTTTTGTCATTATATAATGTCAAACTTTGTCTTGTAAAAATTTTTGTCTTAAAGTCTATTTTGTCTGGTATTAGTTTAACCACTCCATCTCTCTTTGGTTACTGTTTGCATGGAATATTTTTTTCCTCACTTTCACTTTGTACTTGTGTCTTTGAATCTAAAGAACCTCTTGTAGATAGCATATAGTTGGACTACTTTTTTTCCCTATCCATTCTGCTAATCAATGCCTCTTAACTGAAGAGCTTAATCTATTTACCTTTAAGTAATTTGTGATAAGGAAGAAACTGTTTTCTCCATTTTCCTATTGTTTTCTATATATTCTGCCTTTTTTGTTATTATTGTTCTCTTTCCCTGCATTATTGCCTTCTTTCATGTTAGATATTTTCTAGTATATCATTTTGATTCCCATATTTCTTCTTATCATATTTTTTATTTTAGTGGTTAACAGTTAACAATTACATTTAACAACTTACAAAAACCAAGAATGAATTAATAATAATTTAGTTTCAATAGTACACAAAACTTTGCTCCTATATAGCTCCTCCCCCCTTATGTTGTTATGGTCACAAATTGCAACTATATAAACTGTACATCCATCAACATAGATTTACAAAGACTGTTTTACACAGCTGTCTTTTAAATCATATAGATAAAAGGAACTTTGAACCAAAAAAAAATTAATATTGACTTTATTTGCCTATGTAGTTACACTTCTGGTGTTCTTTACTGCTTTGTGTAGACTCAAGACTATCTAGTATCGTTTTATTTCAGCCTGAAGGCCTCCTTGTAGCATCTCCTGTAGGAGAAGCTCAAGTCTACTAGCACTAAATTCTGTTTTTGTTTATCTGGGAATGTCTTCTCCTTTTTTTTTTTTTTTTTTGAAGGAATGGGTTGCTGGACACAGAATCCTGAGCTAACAGGTTTTTTCTTCCTGAACTTTAACCATATTATCCCACTGCCTTATATGGTTTCTGATGAGAAATCAGCTGTTAATCTTTTTTAGGATTACTTATACGTGATGAGTTGCTTCTCTCTTGCTTCTTTCAGGTATCTGCCCTTATCTCTGGCTTTTGAAAGCTTGATTATAATGTATCTCATGTGGGTATCTTTGGGTATGTCTTCTGTGGAGTGCATTGAGCTTCTCTGATACGTAGATCCATACGTTTCATCAAATTTTGGATCTTTTCAGCCAGTATTTCTTCAAATAGTCTTTTTTGCCTCTTTCTACCGTTCTGGGATTCCATTATGCATAGGTAAGTATGTTTAACAGTGTCCCACAGGTTTCTTAGGCTCTGTTCTCTTTGCTTCATTCTTTTATTTTTGACCAAAATCAAGTTTGCCGATTCCTTCTTCTGCCTGTTTAGATCTGCTGCTGAACCCCAATAGGAAATTTTAAATTTCAGTTAAATTTTTCAGCTCTATAATTTCTATTTAGCTTTTATTATTTCTAACTCTTTACTGATATTCTCTAATCTGAGACAGATTCTCATAGTTTCCTTTAGTTCTTCGTATATGGCTTCCTTTACCTCCTTGAGCACATTTTAAATAGCTGATTTAAAGTTTTTGTCTAGAAAGTCCAAAGTCTGGGCTTCCTCAAGGACAGTTTCTACTCATTTCCTTCTTGTCTCTGTGAAAGGCATATTTTGCTGCTTTGTATGTCTTATAATTTTTTTGTTGAAAACTGGAAATTTAAAATATTATAATCTAGCAACTCTAGAAATCAGATTTCCTCTCCTCCCCAGGGATTGTTGTTGCTGTTTATAGTCATTTGTTTAATAACTTCTAAACTGATTTTGTAGTTTATACTCTCTATCATGAGTGACTAGTGAAGTCTCTGCTCTTTTAGCATAATGGTTAGGTTAGTGACTTGATAGAGATTGCCCTAAACCCCTGAAACCAAAAAACAAGTCTTTGTAGATAGGTTCTGTGTGTGTATGGGGGCATACCTTAAACATTCAGTCAGGCAGTTTACAACTCTGCCTTAGCTTTCACTTTCTGTTTGTGCAGAACCTGAAAGTTAGACAGATGTGAAAACTTAGGGCCTTAAGTCTTTTCTTATCAAGTGCCTACACTTGGGCATGTGTGTAGCTGCTGAGATTCCTAGGAATATGTGGAAGCTTTTAAAAACCTTTATTTCCCAGTTTCTCAATCCTCAGCCTTTCCTCCCAAGCTTTCTAGTTTGTCTATTGCTTGTCTGTTGTTACCCCTTGCTCCTGGCAGCAGGCCCTAGTACATTTGCCTTTAAATATTTTCAACAAATGCCAGCCCACGCACCCCACTAACTGCACCCCCTCCACCCAGGATAGCTGTGTCAGTGCTAGGAGAGTTTCAGATTAACCAAAGTAAAAAAAGCAAGCCCTTAGAGCTGGTCCTTCATGGGTTCATCAGACCAGTCAGATCATCAAACCACAGTTCTTTGAGAATATGATCCAGTCTGCATCCTTTGATAGACAATTATACCCAGAAGCGTGACTGTTGTCTTTAACGCTACCACTGAGTTAGCGGGTGGAGGATGGGGTTAGTGTAAGTTAAAACACGAAAAATAAATAAATAAAGCTCTCTTAAAGAAATTCAGTTATTTATTAAAATTGATTAAGCATTCTCCAGGTTGCAATAAACTTTTGATTAGTTTTCAGAGTCTCAATAAACTTGATTCACTGCTTGTTGAGTTCCCTACACTGCCATTTTTGTTCTACCTTGGGTAAGTCTTCTTAATAAGAACTAATATACCTGTGGTAGGGGAGAAAGGAGGAGTATGGGGACAATGCTAAATTCATATTATTCAGGAGGCATTCCTTGATTAATCCCAACTAGGCCCATTTTTTACTCTTGGCATTTATTTAATATTAGATCAATATTTATTGATCTGTATTGTTTAAATATTAAGTTCACTTACACTTTTTAAAATATAAAGTTGATAGAAGGAACTTTAAAAAAATATATGCTGCTAACATTAAAAATAATAAGGTTAGAGCCATGTTTTTCTTATTTTGAATTCCCTTCCCAATCCTCCAATCCTACTAGCAACTACAGGTCTCAGGACTGAATGAATGCTTTCAGTGAATGACATAAATGAAAAACAAAATTAAAATGGGTGGCATAGTGTTTTAGTACTCTAACTATCAAGTATTATCATCAATTAGATCAGTACTCTCCCTTTTGAAAAATATTTCCACATAATTTCTATTCCAAAGCATAGAAGATAAGTTTACAATTTCAGAAGCAAAAAACAAATGTCAATGAGCACTGCAAATTTTGTCTCTAGTATGCAAAAAGAGAAAGGTGACTACTAATGACTCCAAATGTCTTAGGGATAGAAAAAAGGAAACAAATCATTTGCCTGGGTTTCCTTCAAAACAAACTTATTTGCCATATATTATAGTTCAAACTTACTCATTGTTTAATTCTAAAGCTTGATAGGCTGCTTTGATTCGAGCTGGAGGATTCCTTTCTCTCCATGCCTTCTGCATAACTGTAGGAAAAACATTTCAAAAAGTAGATGAGATGGCAAACATAAATTATCTTATGCAAAACATACAATGATTTAGAAGAATAAACAAAGATTTAAATAACATATTCTTAAACATAAACAACAAACTGGGGTGATGGCTCACATTAACCTTATGAAAAGTTTACACTAAATTTGGAAGCTTCACATAAAATAGAAATTAAAATATTATTTCTCTGATTTATATGAATAATAACATAGTTGATACTCAATCAAGTTAACTATATCATTATTATACATGAACAGTTATACATCTAAATATATATTAAAATTGACATCAGATTATAATTAATGAAATATTCTTGTTCTTTTATCCTCTTGGAAAGGTTCTATGGAACTGTTAAAAATACATGAAAACCTTAGAAATCAAAGTTTTTATCTAATCAGAGATTCAGTCCACAAAGAATGCTTGAATTTGTATTTTATATTAAAGGGGGGAAGGAATTAATTTAGGATATAGTACATTTATGGAAAATATGAGTCTCTACTAAGAGTCAAGAAAAGCCTGAATTAGGATCTCTCTGAAATAACAATATTAGTTTTGTTATCATTTACTATACCAAATTGAAAATTTCACATTAAGCAAAGTTTCTTTAAAATTAAACAAATAAATAAACAAAGAAGATCCATGAAACTATCTGGCCTATTTCAAGTTTGATAACAAAAATAGAGAATCTATGACTGTTGCTTTTGGAAGGAAACCTACAACTGTCCAGAAAGAATAATGTGGAAAACGTTTGAGTTTTCCTTCGGAAACAAAATATTAGTCTTGGCTTAGAAAAGGAGACAATATATTCTACTTGTGTAACAAAAATACAACTCTCATATCAAACATGTCACTAGCTAGCTGACAGCTAATGCTTCCTGAACTTGACAAATTGATGCAAGTCAGCACCCATATGATAATAACCAGGTAAAGAATAGCATTTTGCTAAAACATTAAAATATTACCTAAAAATAAAATATAATACTTAACTTGCCCATTTTTGATGATGAGGCTCTCTTCCATAAGTTACATGATATTTTCAGCTCCAATTCTGACACCGAATTTTATTAACAATTTAAATGGTTATCTGGTACTCTAGCATATTAAGTATACATAGTAATTTATTTAACCAGTTCTCTTTTGATGGATAATTAATTTTTTGCTAATTAAAAATACTATGATAACCATCTTTTAACATCTATCTTTGTATACCTGGCCAAATATTCAATTTTTAGAAGTGGAATGGTTAAAAACATATGCATCTTTTAAAAGACTTTGGATATATATTCCCAAATTCCTCTCAATGAGATTGTATTAATTCATATTTTTTCAGGCAGTGCAGGAGAGTGACTATTTCCCCATTTCCTTAACAACACTGAGCAGTGTCAATCTTTGCTAATTTAATACATGAAAACTATCTCACTTTCATTTGTATTTCTTCTATTTCTAGTAAAGTCATCTAATCTACCATTAAGCATTTTTTGTTATTCATATGTTTTCAAATGCTCTATCCAGCCTGATTATCCCTCATAACCAATGCACTTCTAAGCTAAAGAGGAAATGGGAAATAAAGTAGAGGAAGGAAAATATTTACTTCCCTCTAAAACAAGGTTTAGAAATCATTTAGTATTCAACAGTTGATTGAGTATTTAACTGATGATTTATTATAGTCTTCAAAGGTTCTCTGTAAGAATTCATGATTTGCTTAAGAATAACATAAGCAGTTAACAATTCAATCAAATTTATCTATTTTTCAAGGTAAATGCTATTCTAATATGCTAACAAGCAGAAGGAACTAATTACCATTCAATCTAAGACCAGAGGTCAGAAATATAAATGCCTTGAGACCTTGCAGAACTAAAAGCACATGCACTGTCTAAAAGAGAGAATCACAGTTCAGGTCTAACTGATTACTGCCAAATGGAAACGTGGGTCCACATTTTCCAACTTAAATTGTAAATCTGGAGTTTAATGTTAAATAATCTTTTGATTATGTCTGTTCACTATCCTAAATAAACAAATCAATAGAGTAAGAACAAAAATCTACTAATTTAGTAATTACTAATGACAACAGTTAAGAGAAATTTGTCACATCACACATATAGACACACTTTTCTATTTTTAATATAAAACTACAGACATAAATCTTATATTTATACGAGTATCTGTAAAGATCAATGTGGAACCAATAGTCCATTTCTGGATTATCATTCATGGATAAAGTCTAGTTCAGTCTTAAACTGGGATTTTGCATACCTCTAGAAGTACTACATAAAACTCTGCAATGACCAAAATGGGACACATAATTCTAAGAGAATCAACCTCTAAAGCTTCAACTTTATATGACTCTTTCCTGTGTTTGATCTAATTGAAGAATGTTGCTCTGATTAGTCTGTGTTACACTGGTTTCTCTTTCCTACTCAACACAGGCTCCTTGCCTCACCCTGCTCCCTTAAAGATATATTACCTATTCCTACTTCATAATAGAAAAGCTTACTTTTCACCCATCTTGAATCATTCCAAGGTGCATTGCCCTAGAGGGTAAAAATGTCAGGTGCCTCAGGAACAAGTTAAAGTCTGGGTTTTGGAGCAACCGTTTTTAATCAAGAAACCTATAATAGAGATTTGTGCCATTCTCTTATTTAACAGGAAAGTTCAGTATTAGAAATACAAGGGGCTACCCTCATGGTGGCAACCCACTCCAGTACTCTTGCCTAGACTATCCCCTGGACGGAGGAGCCTGGTGTCCATGGGGTCGCAAAGAGTCGGACACGACTGAGAGACTTCACTTTCACTTTCTTTGACCCTCATGGCTCAGCTGGTAAAGAACCCACCTACCAATGCAGAAATAGAGTACTCTGGCTGCTGGAAGTTCTGAATTCAAGTATATTGTAGAGTGGAGAGGGAGTAATAATTTTTGCCAGTTCCATTTATTAGCACCAGTTCTCCCCTTACTATCAAGCATGCACTGTCCCTAAGGGAAGGTTCTCTCATAATAAGGCAAAGAAAGCATTGCTGCTGCTGCTGCTGCTAAGTCGCTTCAGTCGTGTTCGACTCTATGCAACCCCATAGACGGCAGCCCACCAGGCTCCCCAGTCCCTGGGATTCTCCAGGCAAGAACACTGGAGTGGGCTGCCATTTCCTTCTCCAAGGCATGAAAGTGAAAAGTGAAAGTGAAGTCGCTCAGCCGTGTCCAACTCTTAGCGACCCCATGGACTGCAGACTACTAGGCTCCTCCGTCCATGGGATTTTCCAGGCAAGAGTACTGGAGTGGGGTGCCATTTCCTCCTCACACTGTGAGTGAAAGTGAAATTGCTCAGTCGTGTCTGACTCTTTGCGACCCCATGGGCTGTAGCCTACCAGGCTTTTCCATCCATGGGATTTTCCAGGCAAGGGTACTGGAGTGGGTTGCCATTTCCTTCTCCAAAAGAAAGCATTAGTAAGGGATAGTAAAGGCAGTGGAATCTTGTTTTGGCCAAGTGATAAGCTTAAGGCAAGGCTCCAAGACTTACCTATCTTTTCATCTTAGAATCTGAATTCAGAAGAGAGATGGTTGTCATAGGGATGAATGCTAACATGGCTATTTGAATTTAAAAAATGAAGTAAAAAAAAAAAAATGAAGTCAAACTTCTCTGTCACAAAGTATGTCTGATTTGGTTGACAGGAATAACAATGAGAACTCACCCAGCCAAATAGGTTATATGGAGGACCTTTTTCAAAGCTGGAAGAGCCAAATATGTAGCTCTAAGGATTTGACAAAAATATAAAGTACAAGATTCCATTTAGAACTATATGGTCAAAAGAAATTTACATTTTTAACAAAAAATTACACAAAACTGTTCAAGACTGGGGGAAACAGAGACTCTTGGAGGGCACAAACAAAATCGTGTGCACACCAGAACCCAGGGGAAAGGAGCAGTGACCTCACAAGACTGAGGCAGACCTGCCTGTCAGAGTTTGAGAGTCTCCGGCAGAGGCGCAGGTCAGAGTGGCCCACGGAGGGGATGGGGCACTGGCGGCAGCAGCTCTGGGAGGGGTGTGTTGGCATAAGTCCTTTTTGAAGGTTGCCAGTAGCCCTACTTTTGAAGAAAGTAAGGAAAACCACTAGACCATTCAGGTACGACCTAAATCAAATCCCTTATGATTATACAATGGAAGTGATGAATAGATTTAAGGGACTAGATCTGATAGAAAGAGTGCCTGATGAACTATGGATGTAGGTTCATGACATTGTACAGGAGACAGGGATCAAGACCATCTCCAAGAAAAAGAAATGCAAAAAAGCAAAATGGCTGTCTGAGGAGGCCTTACAAACAGCTGTGAAAAGAACAGAAGCGAAAAGCAAAGCAGAAATAGAAAGCTTTACCCACTTGAATGCAGCATTCCAAAGAACAGCAAGGAGAGATAAGAAAGCTTTTCTCAGTCATCAATGCAAAGAAATAGAGGAAAACAATAGAATGGGAAAGACTAGAGATCTCTTCAAGAAAATTAGAGATACGTAGGGAACTTTTCATTTGAAGACGGGCACAAAAAGGACAGAAATGATATGGACATAACAGAAGCAAGAGATATTAAGAAGAGGTGGCAAGAATACAGAGAACTATACAAAAAAGATCTTCATGACCCAGATAATCACGATGGTGTGATCACTCACCTAGAGCCAGATATCCTGGCATGCAAAGTCAAGTGGGCCTTAGGAAGCATCACTACGAACAAAACTAGCGGAGGTAATGGAATTCCAGTTGAGCTATTTCAAATCCTAAAAGATGATGCCGTGAAAGTGCTGCACTCAATATGCCAGCAAATTTGGAAAACTCAGCAGTGGCCACAGGACTGGAAAAGGTCAGTTTTCATTCCAATCCCAAAGAAAGGCAATGCCAAAGAATGCTCAAACTACCGCACAATTGCACTCATCTCACACGCTAGTAAAGTAATGCTCAAAATTCTCCAAGCCAGGCTTCAGCAATACGTGAACCGTGAACTTCCAGATGTTCAAGCTGGTTTTAGAAAAGGCAGAGGAACCAGAGATCAAATTGCCAACATCCGCTGGATCATCGAAAAAGCAAGAGAGTTCCAGAAAAACATCTATTTCTGCTTTATTGACTATGCCAAAGCCTTTGACTGTGTGGATCACAATAAACTGTGGAAAATTCTGAAAGAGATGGGAATACCAGACCACCTGACCTGCCTCTTGAGAAATCTATACGCAAGTCAGGAAACAACAGTTAGAACGGGACATGGAACAACAGACTGGATCCAAATAGGAGAAGGAGTATGTCAAGACTGTATATTGTCACCCTGCTTATTTAACTTATATGCAGAGTACATCATGAAAAACGCTGGGCTGGATGAAGCACAAGCTGGAATCAAGATTGCCAGGAGAAATATCAATAACCTCAGATATGCAGATGACACCACCCTTATGGCAGAAAGTGAAGAAGAACTGAAGAGCCTCTTGATGAAAGTGAAAGAGGAAAGTGAAAAAGTTGGCTTAAAGCTCAACGTTCAGAAAACTAAGATCATGGCATCTGGTCCCATCACTTCATGGCAAATAGATGGGGAAACAATGGAAACAGTGTCAGACTTTATTTTTTTGGTCTGCAAAATCACTGCAGATTGTGACTGCAGCCAAGAAATTAAAAGACGCTTACTCCTTGGAAGAAAAGTTATGACCAACCCAGACAGCATGTTAAAAAGCAAAGACATTACTTTGCCGACAAAGGTCCATCTAGTCAAGGCTATGGTTTTTCCATTAGTTATGTATGGATGTGAGAGTTTGACTATAAAGAAAGTTGAGTGTCAAAGAATTGATGCTTTCAAACTGTGGTGTTGGAGAAGACTCTTGAGAGTCCTCTGGACTGCAAGGAGATCCAACCAGTCCATCCTAAAGGACATCAGTCCTGAATATTCATTGGAAGGTCTGATGTTGAAGCTGAAACTCCAATACTTTGGCAACCTGATGCAAAGAACTGACTCATTTGAAAAGACCCTGGGGCTGGGAAAGATTGAAGGCGGAAGGAGAAGGGGATGACAGAGGATGAGATGGTTGGATGGCATCACCAACTCAATGGACATGAGTTTGAGTAAACTCCGGGAGTTGGTGACAGACAGGGAGGCCTGGCATGCTGCAGTCCATGGGGTCTCAAAGAGTCAGACACGAATGAGCGACTAAACTTAACTGAACTGAGTAGCCCTACCATAGAGCCTGTTGACTTCAGGAATTGGTTGCCTCAGGCCAAACAACTAACAGGGAGGGAGCAGCTCCTTATTGCAAAATTCAGGCTTAAATTGAAAAAAAAATAGGGAAAACCACTAGGCCATTCAGGTATGATCTAAATCAAATCCCTTATGATTATACAATGCTCAGTCATGTCTGACTTCTTTGCTACCTCATGGACTGTAGCCTGCCAGGCTCCCACCAGCAGAAAATTGGATTAAAGATTTACTGAGCATGGCCCTGCCCACTAGAGAAAGACCGAGTTTCCCCACAGCTAGTCCCTCCCATCAGGAAGCTTGCACAAGCCTCTTATCTTCAGCCATCAGAGGGCAGACAGAAGAAACAAGAACTAGAATCCCATAGTCTCCAAAGTAAAAACCACAATCACAGAAAGCTAACCAAAGTGATCATATGGATCACAGCCTTGTATAACTCAATGAAGCTATGACCCATGCCATGCAGGGCCACCCAAGATAGACAGGTCATGGTGAAGAGTTCTGACAAAATGTGGTCCACTGGAGAAGGGAATGGCAAACTACTTCAGCATTCTTGTGCTGAGAATCCCATTAACATCATGAAAAGGCAAAAAGATATGACACCAGAAGATGAGCCCTCCAGGTCGACAGGTGTCCAATATGCTACAGGGGAAGAGCAGAATAACAGCTCCAGAAAGAAAGAAGAGACTGGGCCAAAGTGGAAATGACGTGCAGCTGTGGATGTGTCTAGTGGTGAAAGTAAAGTCTGATTCTGTAAAGAACAATATTGCATAGGAGCGTGGAAGATTAGGTTCATGAATCAAGGTAAATGAGACATAGTCAAGAAGGTAATGACAAAGTGAACATCAACATCTTAGAAATCAGTGAACTAAAATGGACAAGAATGGGAAAATTTAATTCAGATGACCATTATATCTACTACTGTGTGCAAGAACCTCTTAGAAAAAATGGAGTAGGCATCATAATCAACAAGAGTCCGAAATGCTATATTTGGGTGCAATCTCAAAAATGACAGAATGATCTTGGTTCATTTCCAAGGCAAACCACTCCACATCACAGTAATCCAAGACTATGCCTTAAACACTAAAGATGAAGAAGCTGAAATTGACTGGTTCTATGAAGACCTACAAGACCTTCTAGAACTAACACCAAAAAAAAAAAAAATGTCCTTTTCATTATATGGGATTGGAATACAAAAGTAGAAAGTCAAGAGATATCTGGAGTAACTGGCAAGTGTGGTCTTGAACATAAAATGAAGCAGAGCAAAGGTTAACAGGGTTTTGTCAAGAAAATGCACTGGTCATAGCAAACAGTCTTTCAACAACACAAAAGACACTCTACACATGCATATCATCAGATGGTCAATACCGAAATTAGACTGATTATATTCTTTGCAACCAAAGGTGGAGCAGCTCTATACAGTCAGCAAAACAAGACCTGGAGCTAACTGTGGCTCAGATCATCAGCTCCTTACTAAAAAATTCAGGCTTACATTGAAGAAAATAGGGAAACCACATAACCATTCAGGTTATGATTAGATACAATGCTCAGTCATGTCTGACTCTTTGCTACCTCATGGACTATAACCTTCCAGGCTCCTCTGTCCATGGGATCTTCCAGGCAAGAATACTGGACTGGATTGCCATTTCCTTCTCCACCTGGATCTTCCCAATCCTGGTGTCGAACCTGGGTCTCTTGTGTCTGCTGCATTGCAGATGGATACTTTACCTCTGAGCCAGAGGGGAAGCCCCAGTGAAAGTGACAAACAGAGCCAAGGGATTAGATCTGGTAGACAATAATACCTGAAGAACTACGGACAGAGGTTCATAACACTGTACAGGACGTGGTGACCAAAACCAATCCCAAGAAAAAGAAATGCAAAAAGGCAAAGTGGTTGTCTGATGAGGTCTTACAAATATGGGGCCTTACAAATAGCCAAGAAAAAGAAGTGGAAAGAGAAAAGAAAAAAGGGAATGGAAAAGTGGAAAAGAGAAAAGGAAAGATATATCCAACCGAATGCAGAATTCCAGAGAATAGCAAAGAGAGATGAGAAAGCCTTAAGTGAACAACTCAAAGAAATAGAGGAAAACAATAGGATGGGAAAGACAAGCGATCTCTTCATGGAAATTGGAGATAGCAAGGGAACATTTCATGCAAAGATAAGCACAACAAAAAGCAGAAGAGATAAAGAAGAGGTGGCAAGATCTTAATGACTCAGATAACCACGATGGTGTGGTCACTCACCTAGAGCCAGACATTCTGGAGCGTGAAAGTGTCAACTCACTGGAAAAGACCCCGAAGCTGGGAAAGATCCCGGGCAAGAAGAGAAGGGGGCAACAAAGGATAAGATGGTTGGACAGCATCACTGACTCAATGGACATAGTTTGAACAAACTCCAGAAGATAGTAAAGGACAGGGAAGCCTGGCATGGTGCAGTCTGTGGGGTCACAAAGAGTTGGACATGACTTAGCAACTAAACAACATAAAGTGATTGGGAAGATTAAGTTAGTATCTTTACATAAATTGCTTAGAACGGTGCTTCATATATAATAAGTGTTATACAAGAGTTAGCTATTATCAATGAAACCGCTTAAGACATCTGCAACATCAAAGCTATTCAATCATTTATATTTCCATCAAAGAATAAATATATTTACAGTATACCAGGCAGTGTGTTAGATGATAAGGATTCAAAGATGACAAGTATAGTCCCTTATATCCAAAGTTTCACACATTATTAGGGAGGACAAACATTTAAGCAACATCATAATATTAACAAATAAGTGTTCACAGTTGAATAAACTAACTAAAATTATTTTACTGAGGTTTGGACTAAGTACTGTTGAACTGCAGAGAAGATCAGAGAAGGCTTCCCAGAGAATAAGACTTTTAATTTTGAAGGATAAAAGTAGAAGCATAGATAAGGTGGAAAAGGGCATTCAAAATAGCTGTGATAAAGATCCCTGTCAATCAGTCCGACATGATTCAGCAACAAAACAACAACTTTAAGCCAAACATTTAAGAGTCTCCATACTCACTTCTACAGAAAAGATTAGAGAACTAACTCAGACATTTCTATGATCTTCCACAACTTTACATGTTTCTCTGAATTATGACTGGAATAAAATACACCCAATTTTTCTCCATATGCTGTGCCCCAATGTTTAACTCTGCCTTACTCTTTTTTTTTTTAATGTATGATTTCAGGTGTTAATTTCCCCAAGCAAAACTGGGTACACTATTCTCTGCATAAGCAATTGTTGGATTTGATCTAAAAGGTTTTTTAAGTTGTAAAAAAAGCAACTAAATTAATTTGTATAAAATAATTTAAATTCTGTAAAAGACAAAATAGTATAACAATAACCTAGTTTACAGTCATAATTAGTATTATGATTTAATACTAATGATTAAATGATTTAATTGATTAGAATCAATTTATTCTGGGTTTCTTATCAATGATACAAACAACTCCAAGCCAAATAACTCTGTATAATAAATTACACTAAAAAACTTCAAAAATAATTGTAATGACTACTATTTACCCCAAGAACAGATATGACACATACCTGTGTCTGAAGGACGTAAAAAGTCTGTGTCACAGGTGAAAAAGGTCTGATGGTCCTGAGCTGACAAATTCATGTCATAGTATGTAAGCGGCTCTTTACCAGTCACCCAAGTGTATCTTTACCAAAACACAAGAAAATATGTAAATTGAACGTGAGAGAGCATCAGTCAGTTACAATAGACACTACTTAAAACTCAAAATTTACTACTACATTTTATTTAAGGACATTTCAAAAACTTATTGTAATCAATAAAACAAAAGAGATAACCTACATAAACTACTTACAGTACAATAATAAAACATATAAAACCAAAAGGGAAAAGGCTAGATTATTCATCAAACAGTGCTTCAAACTGAATCTGAAGGGATAAAACAATTTGACTGCAACATATACCTCATTAAGTGTACTTAAATGCTCAGTGAATTAGAATTAAATATGAAAAGTAAAACTATAAAGAAGCTAGAAGAAAACACCCTAAAACCCTCAGGAACTAATAGCAGATAACAAGCTGACTAATAAATTAAAATAACTAATTTTTACTTTTCACCTATAAAATTGGCAAATATATGTCATCAAGAGTGAGGTGGGATATAAATTCACACATATTCCTGTTATAAATTGGTATTTACATTTCTCTTTCCAGAAATCAATTATATAGTATCAAGAGTCTTAGTACCACAACTACTGAAGCCTGCATGCCTAGAGCCTATGCTCCACAACAAGAGAAGCTACGACCATGAACAGCCTGTGCGCCGCAAGGAAGAGTAGCCCCTACTTGCCACAATTAGAGAAAAGCCTGGACGCAGCTATGAAGATTCAGCGTAACCAAAATTAATTATTTTAAAAAGAGGCTTAAAAACATTCACACCTACTTAGAGGATGGGCAAATGGAATTCCATTTTGCCACTCTACTTTTGTTCATTTTTGAATTTTTTCAACTTTAAAAGAAGAAAAAATTAAAAGGGAAGAAAAAAACTTCACACTTTTTGATTCGGTAATCCTAGTGCTACAAATCAACTCTAAGAAAATAATCATATATGTGAATAAATATTTATACATAAAGATATCCTTCTAGAGTAAATGTTAACAGTGATCTATAATCTGTGATCTGGAGAGGGGAGCAGTAGGTAAGTTATATATAGTGCCTCTATAATAAAATATAGTACAACTGTTAAAATTCATGTTTTAAAGTAATTCTGTGGGAAATTCACATATGGTAAATTTCATATATTATGATGTTCAAGTTTTGTTTCTATATATGCCTATATAGAAGAGAGACTGGATGGAAACACTAATAGTAGTTATCTCTTCATGGGACAAAAAGGTGATTTTTTTTACTTTCTTTCATACATCTCTTTATTTTCCAACTTTCTACAGTGAATAGGTATATATTTTGCAATCAGAAAAGGCATTTTAAAAGCACATTATATATACATGATCAAAGATTTTAAGTTATTTAATAAGTTGTCTTGCTATTTAAAGTTTTCAGCTATTTTGCAAGAAACTATCATGAAGAAAAAAGAAAAAGCAAGTCCTTGTTCATTTAGCAAAGTTTGGTACACATTCTAAAATCATAAAAAAATTTAACATTCTATATTAATCCCAAAATGATTTGAAGCAGTTAAAAAATATATGTATAGTATCAATAACTCAGGGCTTCCCTGGTGGCTCAGCAGTAAAGAATCTACTTGTAGTGCAGGAGATGTGGATTCAATCCCTGGGTCAGGAAGATCCCCTGGAGAAGGAAATGGCAACCCACTCCCGTATTCTTCCCTGGGAAATCTCAGGGACAGAGGAGCCTGGCGGGCTACAGTCCATGGGGTCACAAAAATCAGACACAACTTAGCAACTACACAACAAAACAACAAATCAATAACCTAAATTAGAAGCAAATTTTAAAAGACTCAATAAAGTAAAACAAGGATTGGGCCATAAAATGGCCCATAGCAAAGAGTTCTATAAACTTGCTAATGGTTGACTATAATACAAGTCTAAGCTTCCCAGAACCACACAATAATTACCAATGCATTTTAGACTTTCACATTAAGACAAACTACATTCAAACAGAAGCACTAAGAGTTCCTTATCCTGGGCTTCCCATGTGGCTCGCTGGTTAAGAATCCGCCTGCCAATGCAGGCATGGGTTCAATCCCTGATCCAGGAAGATCCCACATGCCCCAGAGCAATAAACCCTGTGTACCACAACAGTTGAGCCTTTGTTCTAGATCTCAGGAACCACAACTATTGAGCCCATGTGCCACAATTACTGAAGCTTGTGCACCTAGAGCCTGTGTTCCACAACGAGAGAAGCCATGACAATGAGAAGCTAGCACACCACAACTAGAGAAAAGCCCACGCAGCAACAAAGACCCAGCACAGCCAAAAATAAATAAGTAAAATTATAAAAAAGAGTTTCTTATACTAAGATAAGAAATTTCTCTTTAAGATTTTCATGAAATATATACTATAAGATAACAAGAATAACAGCCTAAAAGCTTTTTAATAAACAGTGAGAAGTTCAAGGACTTGTTTCTTGCAGAATCCCTTAATATAGGGCAATTGCATCTATCAGAAAAGGCTAGCTTTGACTTCCCAGGATGTGACTGTCCTACACTATCGAGTACTTATGCACAAGGATTATTGCTTAATCATTTTGTATCCCTGTCATTTTGTACAATGTCCACAAACAGTAGACATAAACTATTTCTTGTACAGTGAATTAAGAAACATACCCCATGCTATCCCCAGGTAAAACACAAGCCCCTTTCCAAACAAATAAAGTTATCCTTTTTCATAAGTTTCAACAGTTTTCTCATTTAGAGTAAGAACCAAAAGAGCAATAGACACAGTAGTGTAGCTAGGAAATGGCAATATAAAATGCAATATAAAAATAGCATACCCTGTACTATTGCACAAATGAAATTTATATTCACATTCAGATTGATATCGTCTAGTAAACTGTCAAATAACTGTCAAACTTTAAATTGAGCACATATGCACAGGAATATACTGACATTTATAATTTTTTTTAACCTCATGAATTCTTTGAAAAGGCTTTCTGTCATAAACCAAGGAGCAAATGTATACTTATTATATATCACAAACATGGCTTGAAGCAATGTTTCTCATGATAAAAGTAAACATATTCAAGACGCAGAAAATTAAACTCTGGGCTAACCATTTTACCTTATTATATATCCGTAACTCCAACTAGAAGAGATATGATATATCTGTAAAAATAATGTTTCCATAATACTTTTACTCTAAAACCAATGTCATAATTATACTGAAAGCAAAATGTAATACCTTCTATATTCTGCTCCTCTGAAAAGATTTAGAGGATTTCTCCACACTTTACATTCTAAAAAAAAGCAAAGAGAAAAAAGGGGGAATTAAGACAGTTTAATGTAGTTAAATACTAATTCAGCCAACATGCTAAGCACAATGCTGGCCATGTATAACACAAAGATGAATAAGGCATGGATCATCCCTGCTGTCACACAGCATATAATCAAATCTAGTTATTCCCTTATTTCTGCCTCTGTAGCCTTTCGTCCACAATTGAAGTACAGCACTTACCATATTACAAAGTGACTATCTGTTTGGTTTTCAGTTTCTCCCTTTAAAATACCAGCTTTCAAAACTTTGCTCATTTTTGTATTTCTAGAACTTACCAAAGAATCTGAACTAACTTGTTTAAATGAATAACATGTGGCTTGAGAATCAGTTATGTAAACTATCACCCAAATTGTGTGAAAAGTGCTATGGTAGAGAGATGTTTTGTTCTAAGAATAAAAAGGAAGTGATTAAGTTTGCTCTGGAGAAATAAGGGGAGACTTTAGAAAGGAGGTGACATTTAAACATTGTTTTTGTTGTTTAGTCATTCGATGGACATGAGTCTGAGCAAGCTTCAGGAGTTGGTGATGGACAGGGAAGCCTGGCGTGCTGCAGTCCATGGGGTCACAAAGAGTTGGATATGACTGAGCGACTGAACTGAACTTAGTCACTAAGTCATGTCAGACTCCTTGCAACCTCATGGACTGCAGTGCGCCAGGCTTTAAACTTGAATCCTTTAAACTTGAACCACTGTAAAAAATGAGTAGAAGGTTGCCAGATGAAGAACATTCTAAACAGAAGTAGTATTAAAAAACCACAAGCATAGTTCAATTAGAGTACATGGTGGAAGATTAAAGTGCACGGTAGAAGGTGAGAGGGCTTCCCTGATGGCTCAGATGGTAAAGAACCTGCCTGCGATGTGGGAGACCTGAGTTCAGTCCCTGGATTGGGAAGATCCCCTGGAGAATGGAAAGCCAACCCACTTCGGTGGTCTTGCCTGGAGAATTTCATGGACAGAGAAGCCTGGCAGGCTATAGTCCACAGGTTGCAAAGAGTCGGAGATGACTGAGTAACTAACACCTAAGAAGGTGAGGAGAGCTGTAAATGAGGCTACAGAACAGACTGGGGGAAACTGATGAAGGAGCTTATATACTACATAAAGAGCTTAGATATTATTCTTCGTAAGAAGCCATCAAATGTTTATAAATAGAAAGATGACAAATATCAGGTCTTTGTTTAGATCAGTAGTTGTCAAACTACCATTCATGGAACTGCAAAGTAACAACACATTCCATAATAAATGAGAAGGCATTATTTGCCTTTTTAACTTTTTGAGTGAGTGAAGTCGCTCAGTCACGTCCGACTCTTCTCAATCTTCCCAACCAAGGGATTGAACCCAGGTCTCCCGCACTGTAGGTAGATGCTTTACCGTCTGAGACACCCTGAGAGTGAGGGCATCCTTAAATTTTGTGCCCCAAGCATCTGACTGCCTCACACTAGTGCCAGTCCTGCAAAGTTGGGCTGATGGTACAAAATCAATGGTTTGTAAAACTGCGGGTATTTTAAACTAGTAGTCATTGGATTCCTCACCCCTAATCTAGTAAACAGACAACCAAATATGAAAGTTGTCTTCAATATAAGCAATTGTTTTTTGAGCTGAACTTTTTTTTCCCATGGAGTATCACTTTTATCTGAAAGAATCACCAAAAGACAAATTTATAATTATTCAGATAAATACCTGGCAGACATTTTTCTCAATGGTGAACAAAGTAGGTCTGTCAAATTCAAGGAAGAAAAAAAACAGTACTCGCTGCTGATGACAGAATTTGAACTTTCAAGTACAATTAGAATTTTTAAAACCTTATATTAGTTACCATGAACTTGACAATTTCCCAATACTTACAGGCTTTTCTGTGAAATTAGTGGTGATATTAATAAATCTCATTTTAAAAAACTAACAATGTATCAATATTTGGAAGACATGCCTAACTCAGTGAATGAGTATTTTCTAAATGAACAATGAAAGACCCATTCAAAATGGGACACCAAGGGATTTTAATGTAACAGAACATGAAGAGTTAATTGGTATAGCGTCAGATTTCATACTGCAACTAAACTTTAAGAAAGTATCTAAAAAAAAAAAGTATCTCTCAGTAAATTTTGCTGTTGTATTAAAAAAGAATATCCACAACTTTCTGAAAAGGTTATTAAGCTATTCTTCCCTTTTCCAACTACACATCTCTGTGAGAACAGATTTTCTTCACAGATGTCAACCAGAACAACATTTCACAACAGGCAATGCCAGAAGCAGATATGAGAATAAGCTATTTTTCTTTATTAAGCTAGATAATAAAGAGATTTAAATGAATGTAAAGCAATGACAGTCTTCTGATTAAAATTTCCTATTTGGGGAAATATAATTATTTTTCATGATATGTGTCTTAGCTCAGGCTGCCATAACTAAACACCATAGATTGGGCATAGTTATATTAGAGGTTAGAGCTTCAACACATGAATTTGAGGTGGAGGAGAGATACAGTTCAGTTCATAGAAATATGTTAACATGCAATGGGTTTCTGTTATTTTTAAAACAATTGATAAATATTGTTTAAATTTGTTTCAATTTCTAATATGATAAATACTGGGCATATAATCAATATTTAAACAAAAGCTCTGTGAGGTACTCAATAATTTTGAAGAGTATAAAGATTCCTGGATCTAAAAAGTTTGAGAACCACTTTCTTATAGTAAAGGGAGAAAATGTGCTAAAAGGAGAAGTATCATAGGCAAGGAAACTAGTTAGGATGCACAGCAATAATCCAGGAAAGAGATATCTAAGGCCCAGATATGGGGCAATGAATGCTGAACTAAAAGAAGGCAGAGCAGAGTCCAGGTAATTTTTGAGGGGAAAACAATGAGGGTCAATAGTCTAGAGAAGGAAGGGGAAATAAAAGAGATATTATCTAAAACAACTCAAAGATTTCTCTTATGGAAACTAATAAATTTTAGGATTATGGAGAGTATCTATTGAAAGAAGATAATTAGCAGCTTCACTTTGGACTGTAAGCTTAGGATTGCTGAGGGCCATCAAAGGTGAAGATTTCTAGCAGAGTTAGAAATGTGGGTCTAGAACATAAAAGCTTGAGGGCAGAAATTTAAAACTGGCTCTCCCAATATATAAGTCTATGGATGACAATATTATAGAATAAGATGCAGATACCTAGGGAGAGAAAGTGGAACCAAAGAACTTTGACTCAATCTCACAATAGGGTGTAAGACTATATAATGCATTATTGTTATAATTATTTACAACTGGACTGTGAGCTTCCTGATGACAGATCTATGTCATATTCATTTTAACATGACTTATTCTTGAGAGCTTGTTTGGAGGTTCTAGCAGGGGAGCACAGCCACTCGTATACCCTTGACCAAAGACTGACTGGTCCTTCTCTCTTAGGGATGGTCATACTCCTCCACCAAGCACGCAGCTTTGGAAGGGATGCACATGGAGTGGTTAGGAAGAAAGGGGACACCTGCCTAGCCAGCCAGATAAGCCGAATCAACCCTGATGATCAATGGGGTGACAGATGTTGCAGCCAGATAGCCCTCACATCCAATATGCCTTATTCTTAAGAGTTCTATAATTATTTTATGAAAGGGGAGAAAGGAGAAGAGGAAAGAAAATTACCATTATTTCTTCCCGTACTTCCTGAATGGCTGTCAACCCCATCCCTACTAATCCTGGTCAACTCCCACTCAAGCTTTATGGCTCAGTTTAAATGGTTCTTTCTCAGAGAACTTCCCTGACCACACATAAAAAGTGCCATCAATTTCACTCAGGTAGTATTCTTCTACTAAACTAATATAAATTTCAAGTTTAGTTTACTGAACAAATGAGACATTATGGCATTCTACAGAATTAACTCATTTGTATTATTATTGTATGATTATAACCTACACCAAATGAAAGTGAAAGTGAAGCCACTCAGTCCTGTCCAACTCTCTGAGACCCCATGGACTGTAGCCTACCAGGCTCCTCTGTCCATGAGATTTTCGTACCAAATGAAAGAAACAATAATCCAAAAATGTCATTTCTATTTGGCTTCAAAGATTTTACTTTCCTAATTGTATAATTACCAGATACATATAGAAGAATGGCCTACAATTTAACTATGACAACAGAATATTCATACATTGACAACAGATTTTGATGTCTTTGTAAATATACTGACAAGAAAAAATATTTTTCCTAACTTTGCTCTCTTGGCAGAGATGGCTAGTTGTCTCTGTTCTCTCCTTTATCAGTAATAAGATCCCCTTTTCACCTGGGCACATGTACATTGAGAAAATGATTACAATTTCTAACCTCCCTTACAGCTAGTTCTAACCATTTGATAAAGATCTGACCAGTAGAAAGTAAGTCAAAATAGTATGTAACGCTTCTGCGAAGTATCCTTGACTGCTGTGGGGAAAGTGTCTTTCTCCTGGCCTATTCTCCTTCCAGCTGACTAGAATGTGGGCATGATGGCTGCACCCAGAGCAACTGTCTTGGAACACAAGGAAAAACTGCACAGGAGATGGCAGGCTAATAAAACAGAAGGAGTCAAAAAAAAAAAAAAAATAGAAGGAGTCTAGGTCTCTGACGATCATTGCTCTCCATATCAGCCATTAAATCTGTATTTAAAGGAAAGACAAACTTCTATTGTTAAATGTTTTCTATCTGCCACAGTCAAACACAATCTCAACTATACAGCTCTGAAAACATTTCATTTCACCTGACAAATTCTGCCTGCTGGTTTCGCTTTCTCTGTTGTTGGAAGAAGAACCTGGCTCTGAAATGCTGCTTTCTGTTCCTCCCATCAATGGTCGCAAATGGCTTACAGAAACTTGCTCAATAAAAGATGTGCCATGCTTATGAAAGTACCACCATTCAAATATCTGTGACAAAGAGAAAACATCTTTCATTTAAAACAGAACTGATCAGCAGATATGAGTTCAAATCAAAACATTCTCTCAAGATGTTCCTGTTTAATTCAGTCTTTTAAATGTACTTTCCTTCCAAAAAACAAGCCAAACACAAGATTCCCTGATAACACATATCAAGCCGAGGTAAATGCCTTTTTATAGCTTTGTCATAAAATTCAGACAAGCTTAGGCAACACTAGAAGAAATATGTCTGTAAATAAAGCATATAAAAAACAATAAGTACTTAAGCTATAAATAATATGTTATGTTACAATGTCATTTTAGTCTATCTGTAGCGCAATTAAAAGAAAAATAATTTTGAAACAACTAGTATGATGTGCTTAACCACTACACTAGGGTTAGAATGCCCACACTGACTCCCAATTCAGCCATACTTTACCTGTGTGTTTTGTGTAAGTCACTTAAATTCTCAGAGCCTCAATGCCCTATTAAGCAAATATGGTTGACAAGAATTAGAAGTTCTTCTGAACAATAAAGTACTAATCCAGTATTTGGCAGTACTGTTAATGTAGGTTAAGAGTCAGGTTGATTCCCATATTGAACCATTCAAAAATCAGGATATTCCTTTCTTTCTGTTTCCACGGTTTATCACTGTTGTAAGAGGAAATCAAAAGCCGCTCTCTGTGCTGAATTAGCAGAGTGTTTCATATTTGGATACTCTGGCCTTTTCAGCTCCCTTTGCTGGCTTCTCTGGGTGTGAGCTTAAACGACATATCCGAAGGGAATTTTTCCTGATTCCACAGAATGAAAAACTATTTTATGTACTCCCATAGGCTCTTTTTTTCCTTTCAAAATAAACTTTGTACTCATAATAACTAAACAACTGGCTTTGCTGCTATTCTTCAAGCTCCCAAGCACACAACCTCTTCAGGTAGAAATAACACAGCACAACGAGCTTCCTCATTTCAGGTGGTAAAAAAAATTATAGATAAACTCTACTAATAAAAACTCATCAATAGTTCAAGGGTAATGACACAGTTCAATCTTTAAAATGTTACTTGAATTCCTAATTTTTATAAATTTAAAACTCTGATTTGAAAAAAGCAACAAATTTTAAAAACTGTTTTACGTATTATATGTTATGAATCAATATTATATGTGTGTGTATGTGTGTGTGTGTGTGTGTAAGTTTTCTCCCCTCCTTATAAACAAGAAAATTAGGACTCAATTCATGTTACTTGCCCAAATGGCAGAGTCAAGACTCAAAACTTCATCTGCTGGTTGCAAGAGCAATGCTTTTTCCACTATATTAGCTGTTTAAAGATAGTTTATCTCCTTTATTTAGATTTTTATCAATTCAGTTCAGTCACTCAGTCGTGTCCAAATCTTTTCGACCCCATGGACTGCAGCATGCCAGGCCTCCCAATCCATCAGCAACTCCCAGAGTTTACTCAAACTCATGTCCATTGAGTCAGTGATGTCATCCAACCATTTCATCCTCTGTCATCCCCTTCTCCTCCCGCCTTCAATCTTTCCAAGCATCAGGATCTTTTCAAATGAGTCAGTTCTTCGCATCAGGTGGCCAAAGTATTGGAGTTTCAGCTTCAACATCAGTCCTTCCAATAAATATTCAGGACTGATTTCTTTTAGGATAGACTGGTTAGATCTCCTTGCAGTCTATTCTATGGAAAAATATGCTAAACTATGAAAAGGATTTATAAATCAATAAATTTTTAGGCTTTTAAAAACAGAGTTTTCAATAAAAATTTTAAAAAATAAAAATAAAAACAGAGTTCTCATCCAGAATTCCTCAACAATTTTTTTTAAGTCGAGAAAAAAGTATTTTTCATCTGGCATTTCTCTTTAACAAAATGGTCAAGTGTCTCTATAGGAAAAAAAAAACACAACTCCAATACAAATGTTATTATTTTTACATTTCTACTATAGTTACAGAGCACCACCTAGAGATGAGAAAAAAATTCAGAAAAATTTCATTCGCCATGCATGCTATAATACTTCCTAAGATTTTTATCTTTAGCAGTATTTTTTCCAAAGTTTATACTAGGAAACACTGGCTCCTAGGGATGTTAATAAAGATTACAAACTTTTAAAAAATCTTTTTAAATTAAAAATGATAGCATGGTTAAATAAAGCAAGAGAAAACTGAATTAAACAGGTTTCTTTTTTGTGTAACTTCTTAGAATAACATGGCCAAAATTCAACAAGTGCTACTATGTTGTTGCAAGTTTTCACACACATTATCTCAGTTAATCCTCATAACTATGAAACTGATACTATTTTTTCTTTTTTTTGCCAAGTCAGGCAGCTCATGGGATCTTAAGGTTCTGGACCAGGGATCCAACAGGGCCTTCAGCAGTCAAACCAGGGAGCCCTAAACCAATGGACCACCAGGGAATTACCAAGGTGATACTGTTATAATCCCTAGTGTACAGATGAGGAAATTGGAGCTTTAGAAAAGTTAATTCATTTGCTCAAAGTCACACAACTAAAGTGATGGTTAGTCTACTCTACTCTTAAACACTCTAGAGAGGTAAACGGCAGGTAGACTATAAGCCCAATTCAAGACACATAAATTCTTAGTCTGCTCAATGTTGCCAGCATTAAAGTACTGGAAGACTTAAGATAAAAACTTTATATCCAGGTTTTCTTGAAATCATTTGAAAAAATTGGAAGTTCTAGTAATACTGGTCTGCAAATCTACATGGCAACAATTATCTTTAGCCTTCTCTAGAAGGAACATAGCCTTTTCTAGAAGGAACATGTACTGTCCAGATTATCCAGTCTTCAAAGTAAATAAAAATGTTATTTTTTACACTCTGCCCATTTTACTCATTTTTGTTACTAAGCCAAGCTTACGAGCACTTAGTTGGGTAACTCACCTCCCACTACACTCCCCACGACATACACTCTATTATATGCAAATGATACTACCAATCTCTAAAAGTGGCGAGGAAGTTGCAGTGTTTTTTAAAATGCTTTTTCACATTTTAAGAATGCTAATCTATAAGTATTTATAATTATTATAATAATTCAAAGAGATTTGATTTTTAGATAAACACCAAAGCATGAAGGAAATGGAAACTACTTACAAATATTAGTCCTGATATCAAAGAAGACGTCCCTGTAAGTGCCACATAGAATTTGGGTGTCAATGAATTTAAAAATACAGTCACTGTCAAAAAGAAAAAACAAATCAAATTTTAAAAGTACTGAAGTTACAAATATGTAGGTGTCTTTATGAGTGAAGGAACATAAGTAGATTAATATCTAGTATGAGATTCATTTGAGAAAGTTGTAATTTTTTAAAAAGTTACTTTGCATTCTCATTGTATCATATCTTAAAAATGCCTTCACACATGTAAGGAGATCATTTAGCTTGCTGTTGAGAATAAAACCAAGAACATCATAATTTAGACAAGAACTTTTGCAGTTCCATCACATATATTACCAAGGCCGATTAAAACTATTTCCTAATTATTTTGGTGAGATCCAAACCAGTGTTTCAAGTTAGAAGGAAGGAAATAGTGTATGTATTTGACAGGTCACCTAGAGAGGCAAAATAGCCCAAAGAGAACAGCAAACTAAGTGCTTCCTATATTTGATTCACTGAAAACCTGGATCAGACTCTTCACTTCAAATAACAGTCTCATAAATAGTTTGGGTTTTAGAAAGAAATAAAAATCTGTAAAGTCATTGACTCTCATCTGAATGGCATAGTTTATATATGTAAAAAAAAGATAAACTCAATGAGTAACATTTCACTGAGCGTACAACCACTAGTAAGCACTTCATTAACCTGTAACAGAAACACCAAATTAGCTTTTTCAAACAGTATAGGAAGGTCAATTCATCTAGCTTGTTTTAGTGTGTTAGTAGTATCTGGATTTACGTACTCAGTTCTTAAAAAGCCCAAAGTATTTCAGAACATTATCTCAGTCTTTCATGTTATCTCACAGAATAGAAAACGGAACACTTGCCTTCTCTTTCTACAGAAAAATAAAACAGCACTGACAGTCAAAATCGTCACCCAACAGAAATACTTCCATTTTAATCTGAGGTTGCCAATTTGTAATGAAATAGCAAGAGGCCCTGGCTTCCATCCACTCTGACCCCGCTACAGCTAAAGAATATTTGCAGAATCTAAGGGATCGTCACCTCGTAGATGTCTTTGGGTCTTCAGCCCACACTACACAGCAAGCTCTCTACGAATGTTGAAAGAACGAACTAAGGAAAGTACCCACTACTGTTTGTGGCTCTCTTTCTCTTTACTTCCTGTACTGTTCTATTGTATGACTCAAAATAAAGCCTAAAACAGAGAACGGACAAAAATATAGGAAACTGTTTCTTGACAAAGCTATTTTAAAACATGAGAATAGTTGGCAAAGATCGTGGTGTTTTCTCTTAGATGTTTTGTTGTTTCAGTGTGGGTTCTCTCAGCTGAGTGGCGGGAGACTCAAAGGGTGTGTATAAATTCTGCATCCAGTTCTGAAATTGCTCTCATCGGCCCTATTACCTGAAGCTTACAGCTTGTCAGGTGGTTTCTCTTAGGGCGCAAGAGGGCACACGAGAGAGGGCGGATCTTAAGAGTTCGGGGAGGAGCCGGCGGCTGCAGCTCAAGTTTGACAATCAGCTGCGGCCTCAGAGAAAAAGAATCCACTCGGTTGCTTAAACTAACTCATTCTCCGAGGCCCTCCAGTGATAAGGAAATCTCTGCCCTTTGGCCTTTGCCCCAGGCACCCCTAACTGCCCCCTACCCCGCACCGCCGCCCGTCCCCGGGGAGCTCTGGGCCTCTCACCCGCTGCCAAATTCTCACACAGCCTCAGCGGGACCCTCAGAGCGTAAAGCAGCCCCAGACCCGCCACGAACCACAGTGAGGCCCCAATGCCCGCCAGACCAGCCCGCAGCCGCTCCCTCCAGCCCAGCGGCGGGCTTAGGCCGGGAGCAGGGGCAGAAGGAGACGCCGCAGCAGTCGCTGCTTCACCTAAGCCGTCACTGTCCGCCATCTTGCCGCTCCCGCTGGCGCCGGGAGTTGGGAGGGGAGAAAGGCTAGAAAGCGGGAGTCGGGAATCCTGGGATAGTGGCAGACTTAAAGTTGGCCTCCGTGAAAACGGATAGTCCCAGGGAACGGGGACGGAGATCTGGAAAGTGGAGGAGCGCCCCAGGACTGAGCTACCTATTCCTTCCGAAGGAGGGAAAGGGCAGATGGCGGCACCTGTTCTGGAGGAACTGAACTGTGACCCCGGAGTGAAGTGTTTTAGCCTCCAGACGAGTGAGGGTCGCCTTCCACCCCATTCCTAGGATTAAAAAGCCACCAACCGTTCCAGAGTCCGACCAGCACTACGGCCTTTGGGCTCGGCTGTCATGGAGAGCACTGGTACTGGGAAAATCTACAGGAGTAGCGACAGCAGTTTGGTCGGCTGGAGCTCGGGCGCCAATACCAGTCGAAAAACTCTCCCAACGTCCCATAGATGAATAGGGAAATGGCTGGAGCCCGGGCGCCAATACCAGTCGAAACACGCTCCCAATGTCCCAAAAATGAGTGGGGAAATGAATGTAACTCAGTGAGAAAGATATTAGATTTAAAGTTAGCCTACTTCCTTGGGCGCCGAGACCCGGGGCCATCACCCCCGCCCGTAACTGACATGGCGCTCTCGCGGTCGGCGTTTCCGGGCGGGTCCTTCCGACGGCCCTCACTATGATTCCATCATTCGGCTTTCTTCCCGGCCTCCCTCGCGCCGGGGCCGGGCTGGGCCAGAGCAGCCCAAGATGGCCGACTTCGAGGATCGGGTGTCGGATGAGGAGAAGGTAAGGGGTTCGCCTCTCTCTCTTGCCTCTTCCCGGGACAGGGAAGGGAGGCCCGACCTGACTGCGGTGGGAACCCCGGCAGTGCCCCCAGGAGAAGGAAGCTTCTCGGCCTGTGCCGGCATACGGTCTCCGCAGTCGGGACGCTTCGCTGCCCTCTTGAGGGGCTTTCCTCTGCCTCACGGTGGCCCCAGTTCCCCATTCCTCAACTCTCTTTTACTCTTGGGCCTGAGGCACTACCCAGTGGTCTTCCTGCGAAAGAAGAGACCTTCCGTTATTGAATTGTGACTGTGGACCCATTTTGTATTTGAGAAAGGGGGCGATGATGATGTCGTGACGAATCAAGAAGCAATTATTTTACCGCCTTTAGCTGTTGGGGCTCACCCCATCCCCCCATTTTTAGATATGATTGGGGCTAGTTTAGGGCGAGTCACTTCCTGGTCAGGGTGGCCTCTTAACTTCCCTTTTGCTCCTCCTTCCTCAGGAAGTGATTTTGGTGTCACGACTCCTCGACAGGGAGAGGTCTCTAATGTCTTGGCCGCCTATCCTCCTACACCTCTTTTCCCACATACTACCGGCTAAACGAACTCGCGATAATAAATGTGTGAGCCTCAGGGAGATTGGCTTCAGAATCTGAACACGCTTTTCTCTGTAACACTCCTTCGACTGTTTGTATACGGCCCCCTCGGTGACTCTGTCCCTTAGGTCTTACAGCCTTTCAACAATAATTTTTGAAAAACAGTTTTCCATTTTTTTCTTAAGATTAGCCAACGAATTCTTTCTTTTTTAACTCCAGAAAGGTTTTCTGTCGCACATAAACTTAATGTTAACATATGCAAGTCTGGACAAAGCTTCCTGCCTTCTTTGGTGCTCCACTGTGATGTCTCTGATTATAGTTGAACTTGTCAGTGTGTAATTTGTATGCTTATTTCTTTAAAAGTGTCTTAAGTACAAGAGAATATTCCACCTTAGGTGGAATAATTTTTTTCCTGACAACTGCAAATTTTTATAAGTTTGTCAGGCTTTTCAGTAAATAGGTTAAAGATTTTAGAACTTGAGAACATTACAATGACTTCACAACATGATTCATAGTAGGACAAGGAATTATGTCTTGTTTCCCACAGTGATTCTTACAAAATGTACACCTCTGAATGCTCTGTTAATGTATTTGGATTTTCTTGGACTGTTTATGATCCAAGAGTCCTCTGTATGGAATAACTTGGTATATCATATAAGCCATGCCATCTTGAAATGCTGAAGAAAGCGCTGAACATTCACAAGCCATTGAACAACACTTCAGAATTAGATTTTCTCTTACTTGGAAATTGATTCTCGTAAATGTATAAGATTTAGCGGGGCAAGGGCATTTTATACTGTATGTGAACTTATGCTAGAGAGAAAACTATTAATATAATAAAGTGTTTATTCTAAAGGCAAAAAGTTATAATTAAGATGAAGTTAAATTATAATGAAAATCATGGGATAGCAAAGCATTTGTTAGCCCAACTGATGGTCCACTTAAGCAAAATTTCACTAGGAATTTAAGATGATAAACTTTGAAGTTTACCAGTGTTGGGTTTTTGTTTTTGACACAGGATTAGAATGCCCTTTTTTTTTTTAGAATGCCTTTTTAATTGAACTTAGAGGAGAAATACATACTTCAAAGTGTAAATTAAGATGTCTCTGGATATTGACAGTGTTGAAATTAGTAACATTAAAAAAATAGCCTTAATTTTATAGCAGCAGATCTGTGACCAGTTTTCTCTTATCTCCCAGCATACTTCTTTTGCTAATTTTAATAATGACATAGCAAGCAAATCATAATTAGTAAGGTAAATCTGCCCAAAAAATGTTGATGAATTTTATATTCAGTAAACAGGTTTTAGATTAACTGCATTGTCTTCATTAGAGTAGATAATTAAGAATAGCTGATATTTTAAAAAATCTCATGTAATAAATCCATATGACTGAGATTACTGAAATTTTGTTAGATTTTTTATTCCTAGAGATGAACTGATATGTATTTCTCTGTTGTGGATCAGTAGATAAAAATAAAGGGCTTTGACTTGAAAGATTACTTCCATTTTCCTTCAACGTTATATTTGACCTCTTTTTCTCAAGGCTTCTGATGCCTTTTAACTGAATTCATGAACTGAAAAAGTATTTTTCTGAAAAGACTTGTTGATATGAATACATTAGCATTCATAAACAAAAAGTTACCTTTAAGCAAGATGCTTGTACAAAACTTTCACAACCAAGGCACTATTACAAAAAAAGATATTTTCAGCCTTAGTTTCTATATTGATTCTTCCTTGAGGGTGCTGTATAGTTTTCATTTTTTTCTTTTTTTAACTAAGATCTCAACTGCATTTGATTTTATTTTTTGTAGCACACGTGTGTCATGATGCCAAATATATTTTAATACTGCTTTTTATCTTTGTTACACTTTCTGAAAACAGTGAGCCCAGAGGTGAATTTGGTGGTGATGGCCTGAGATGTCCTTGCAAATGTTTCTGTAAAAGCTAGTAAGATCAACCATTCTCATAACTAACTGCTGAAGTTTTTGTCACTTTATAAAGAGGAAGTTGGGTTTTTTAACTTCTGCATTGTTACCTGAAATGGTCATGATGAGCTGCCTAAATAAAACAGGAAGTTGAAAGTGTAATAACTTGCAAAAATAAATACTTTTAGTTGTATCCTAGAGTTCAGTTTCTGAGAATGAGCTCTACTTATCTAGTACTTAGAGTCTTCAGTTACATGGTTCCAAATGCTTTACAATAACAAAATGAAAAGATGCCATAATTAGGAAATTTAAGGTATGAGATAAACTACTTGTTGGATTCTTTTGCACCGACTGTTTCCTTTATTTCATAATTCAACATTTTAAACACATAAATGCACACAGAATTTTAGGATTGAAAAAAGTGCCACTGGTACATTTTTTTCTTTCAACCTAACAAGTGTAATATTTGTGTACAGCTTCAAAAGTACCATAACTGAAAATTGGATCTCTATGCTTTAAGTTTAGATAAAACCGTTTTTAAGACACTTCTTGAAAAATGGGTTTATCAAAATTATATAGGGGAGGTGTGGAAAATGTTGTAAATAGACGCTGAAATTTGAAGGCTTTGTTAGAGATCATGAAGATATTTATACTTGTGGATTTCCTTGATTATGTGTTACCTCCTTAATTTACTAGGTGAGTTATTACTCTTATAAAGTAAACCCTGAAGCTTAATGGCCATGGCTATTTTGTAACAAGTCATTCATTAGAATTAATACTACACTTTTTAAATCTTCTGTTGGGTTTGCTGAGTAGTATTCATATAATCTGTTACAAAATCTTGGACAGGAGCACAAAGCCTAAGCAGGTACAAATTCAGGCGCCCATTTCTGGTGAAGAGTGTAGGTTTATTATAATTTCTTGAAGAACATCTAGCTGTTTTATTAGGACCAGCCTTAAAACTAAGCAAAGCATTTGTCAAAAAATTCGGACCCCAGGTTAGTCTGATTCAGAAGCCTTGCTTTTTTCACTATACTATTTTTAACATATCCATGAATGAAAAAAATCAGAGTAATTCTTTTAATGAATTATATTAGATTCTTTTTGTGTGTGTGTGTGTGGGGGGGTGTGTGTCCTGGGTCTTTGTTGCAGCACATAGCCTTCTCTAGTTGTGGCACAGAGGTTTAGTTGCCCTGCAGCATGTGGGATCTTAGTTCTCCAACCAGGGATCAAACCTGAGTCCCCTGCATTGGAAGGCAGATCCTTAACCACTGGACTACCAGGAAAGTCACCTATTTAATGAATTATAAATGAGGTATTGTGGGGTAGTGGGAAAGAAAAAGCCTCAGGATATTTGGTCTCTTCTTGCTGTGCTGTTTGCTAACAGTGTGATTTTCGAAAAATCACTTGTCTCTGAGCCTTGAAAGTTTTCTTCTAAAATAAATGGACCTCGAAAGTTTTCTTTTAATATAGGTAAGGGGAATTGGATCAAACTGATTGAACAAAGTTTAATGAACGTTTTCAAACTCTTAAAAAAAAAACTTTTTTTTTAAATTTCTTTTTTTTTTCCCATTTATTTTTATTAGTTGGAGGCTAATTACTTTACATCATTACAGTAGTTTTTGTCATACATTGAAATGAATTAGCCATGGATTTACATGTATTCCCCATCCCAGTCCCCC